GGTTCTCCAGTCTGAACCGGTGCAGTAGGTTTGTTTTCCATATATCTGCCCCTCCCAGGAATGGGAGGCTCTGCTTTCCAGCTCCCATTTTACCATGTTTCTGATTGGTTGGTAGTGGTAGCCGGGCACCATCTACTTTTAGTCTCAGAATAGATGAGACTGTGGTTCATGTGGATGACTTTATTTTTATGCAAATGGTAGGTGCTGCCTACTTTTGTTTGCCAATGGCCCCCTCCTCATGGAAGGTCTTTTTTTAAAAAAGGTGTGATACTCATATAGATCTATATATTTCCTGAAGCATAAAAATACGAGAAGAGCATGCTTATGAAAATACCTCCCGGGACTAGGAGTGGTTAACAAATAGAGGAGAATACAGTATTTGTTCTGTAGATTCACTTCTTTGAGTCTGCTTTCCTTCTGTCGTGCTCTGGAGGGTTAGAGACTAAGGATCGAGACACTCAGGCTGTCCTGGCTGTGCCAGTTTCACTGGTGATCCTGGCTCTTGACAACCTTTTTTAAAAAAAAAAATTTTATTGGGGGCTTTTACTGTGGTTGAATGGGGTGTGTGTGTGTGTGTGTGCCAGCCCCCCACCGTTAATCACGGGTTCGATAGGCACAATTGTATGGTTGAGATATATAAATATATTAAAGTCATCAAGAGCATGAGAGATAAGAGATATTAAAATAATGGAGTCAGACACATTTCATGGGAGCAATGCTCACCTGAGCCCCTCTTAGTGGTCCACGTGGAGAGGGGGGGAAGGGAAGGAGGACTAGGGGAAAGGGAACAGGGGAGTCAGGATGGGAGAGGAGAGGGGGAACCGAGGAGAGGTCAAGGGAGGAGCCAAGAGAGAGAGAGAGATTTCTTGCTAACCCAGGCCTATATACTTTTGGGGGGCATGCAAGCCCACTAATTACAGGCAAAGACATACGTCACAGGAAGGGGTTGCACTGTAGGTTATACAGCAATGAGCCGGACAATCGGGTATACAGGCAGTAGGAAGAGGAGCGATTGGGGCTATCCACGTGACAAGATGGGCGGATCCTAGATTCAGATGGCAGCCTAACTTGATGTCACTGAGTGGGGTTGATCTGTTCTCTGGATCTCCATAGGAATCATACATGAACCAAATCAATGACTGCAGGCCTGTCCATTGTCCTTAACAGCAGGGAACGGGGCCTCCCGTAGTCTGGTGACTGACTGTCTTCAGGGAGGATGTCTGTGAGCATCTGACCTCCCCCCACATCTTACAGCTCTTATCACAATCCATCCATCCATCCATTGTGTCAAGCATAGTTGTACATTTGTTGCCATCATCATTTTCAAAACATTCTCTT